GTTATTTGTAAGGAAACAAAACTGAATCTTTTCTTTTACTTTCAACACATTATAAAAAAGAAGCTTAGCTTTGTTTCCATGGCCCTACTGAAGCCTGGGGCAGACCTAAAACCCACCAGCTACCAATGCTACCAAGGCCTTTCAAAGCTTTGGTTGCATTTTCATACCCTGATGAACAGTTTTTTACCAAAGAAAAATAGACAACTATATTAAATCAGATATATCTTTACATTTATTTGGTCTAAGTGCAAATGTTTGGTTCCTCTATTAAGGCAAGCCTTAAAGAATATTTCTCCAGTAGTATTTCTGATTTATATGTGATAAAAAAATTATAATTTAAACCTCACCAAAAAATATTCTAAATAAACAGAGCAAAACACCATTATAGTTCTTTTGAGAAAGTACACCCCAGAACTTCCCCTGTGTGTAAGAGTTAGGATTCTACTTTAAAAGCAGATATACTTTTGATTCTGTGATGTATTATTTTATATAAATGAGTTAATGTGGCCATTTCTTTACAGACGTATTCTGCTGGTCCAAAGTATTATGCTATCAGATTCCTAAACCTGGAGAGAATATTTCATTTATAAAGAATTCAGCCTTTGAAAGTTAACATTAGGTATGAGGTAAAGCCTGCGAGTACCAGAGTATAACATCCAATATTTTTCACCCCAATTTTCTGACATTATAAGTAGATATATGTGTTGTTAATAAACATTTTCTCCAAACTTCAGTAAAAAAAAAACATTTTAATGGAGTACTAATGGTCAAACCTCCCTCTTACTATTATGGTGTGTTCACACCGAGCACGGTGTCAGCGGTAATGTCCACCTGAATGCGGGGAGTTGACCGCTTCTCATTTCAGATGGACCTTGAGTTCAATTCACTTCAGTTTATTTATATAGTGCCAATTCACAGCACAAGTCATCTCAAGGCACTTTACAGTTCACCCAGATCATGCAGTCAAATTGATTTAAAGTTTTCTATCTAAGGAAAAACAGTTGATTTCATTGACTTGAATGCAATCCCTCACACTAAGCATGCATGTAGCGACTGTGGAGAGGAAAAACTCCCTTTTAACACCTCCAGCAGAACCAGGCTCAGTGTGAGCGGTTAGCTGCCGCTGCGCTCACTGCAGATCACATAATCAAATTGGAGGAGCTTGAGATTCCATTTGCCTTCAAGTTTCTACTCAACATGGTGGATAGAGAATTTATCAAACGTGCCACAGAGCTTGTTTTGCTCTTGCATCCTCCACTTTCATAGGGATACTATGTAAATCCACAGCTTTCACTGCGAATGCCCCATAATATTTGCTTGCACATAAAAGATTCTACTTAAATTAGCTTTTCATGTTAACCTAACTTAGTGGAGTTTAACCCCTTTATATGCATATTTCATAAATTTTCCTTGGTTTTATGCAAACACCGCTGAAGATGGTGGAACCATGGTTTGGATGATGCATCCAAACTCTTTGAATCTTCAAGTCTTTCCATGATCAACTCCACTGTAAACATCTTCCTAAGAGTACAAAGTCAGGGTACCAATTCCCTGTACGTACAAACCTACTTAGCACCTAAATACATCACAGACTTGCTATCAGTGTATCAACCCTCCAGACTTTCTTATTTTCTTTAGTCTAAGTGTTTTTAATGTTCTTTTTTGTTTCTGCATTTTTTATTTTATTTATTTATTTCGTTAGTTATTTTTTCCTTCCTTCTAGCTTTGATTCTGTTTTGTTTTCCTATATTTTAATCATGTAAAGCACTTTGCATTGTCTTTGCACTGAATTGTGCTATACAAATAAATTTGCCTTGCCTTTGGAAAATTAAAGTTTGTCTGTTTGTGCAGTAGTCATTACAGACTTTTCTGATAATTAGTATAATAAAAGATAAATATGTCTGTTAATCGGTTTTTAGTGTTGTCATAAATTTTTTGTGTACAGTAGTTTTGAAGCATCAACTTCGGCTACATAAATGTTAATAAAAATACATTTAAATAACTATTTAAAGTTTTAATGTGAAGGGTTTTGCAATATCAAATTAATAAAAGTAACTTTAAAGGTGGTCAGGTCCTACACAAACAGTTGTGTCTTCTTATTATCGCCATCTGCTGTACTGAAGGTGTAGTGCAGTTTGTCACAGGCAGAATTAAATCTGTGTCCCTGGGCCTTTCAGAGAAATGGGAAAAGCAGAGTGACACATTTCCAAGTATTTCCATCACCTGAGTTAAACAGATACTGGGGATTAAATCCCAGGGCTTTCAGTGGAAAAAGGGACTCAATTAAATTAGTCAAACTTTGACTCTACATTGATTATTATTGCTTTACACAATATATAATCTCTAAGAATGATTTTTTTTCTTTTACAGTCACAAAATTTAAGTTGTTGATTTTTCATTTTTATTTTTGTTGAAAACTGTTGGTGGATGTTTGCGTGTATGTGGGATGGCAGGAGGGAGTTTCTCCAGGGCCCTTGATATGTTAGAACCTCCACTGCCACCAAGTGAGTAAAAGTCTATTATTTAAGGTAAAGGGTAGTTTAGTGGTGATTTTTTGCCAAGCCAAACATACAGTTAAAATTCCTTTAAGCAACTACTAAGGCACTGGGATCAAGTTTCTATACGCAGGCAAAAAGAAGGTTCAATGTCCAGTCTTGATGATGGTTTTGGATGGTTTATTTTCTATTTTTGCCAACAATTAAAGAGTACAAACTTTTTATTTTGCCCTACCTCTCTTGCACTGGTAAAAACTATAGGCCCCAAAACCAAAACGCTGGTTCTTTCCAAGGCCTATAGGAAGTGGACTGATCCACATCACTTCCTGTCATACCTCAGAACAAATAAAAATAAAATAAATAAGAAAAATAATAAAACAAAGCTAAAGAGAATCAACAATTGTTAACCTGCAAATAAAATCTGTAAATAATACAAAAAATATAAATTTAGGAATTAATTAACACAATTCAAATGTATAAAGAGATAAAGAATAAACATGACATGGGAGCTGGCTCGGAGCTCGTCTTCCTGGCTGTGTGTTTCCTGGACAGGCCACCTTTTAGAGCTGCTTTTTGTATCTCTGCTTCTGTCTCCTTGAACTCCAGTCAGCCTCAGCTCACTCTGAGCCTGGTTCTGCTGGAGGTTTCTTCCTAATAAAAGGGAGATTTTTCCTCTCCACTGTCGCTACATGCATGCTTAGTGTAAAGGATTGCATTCGAGTCAATAAGTCGATGCAATCAACTGGTTTTCCTTTGATAGAAAACTTTGAATCAGTTTGACTGTATGATCTGGTGAACAGTAAAAGTGCCTTAAGATGACATGTGCTGTGAATTGGCGCTATATAAATAAACTGAATTGAAATGAACATGAAAGTGATTTAAAAAAATAGATTTTACACTTTAAGCTTAAATATGAATCACCTGTTAGACCAGGGATCTGCAGCCTGCAGCTGCAAAGACCAAAGTGGGTCCTTGACTCTGTGGCCTATACATTAAACCAGTGGTTCCCAAACCTTACTTGCTGGGGCCCCCATCTGGTTTACAGGAATGTTTGTGCACCCACAAATACTGCACCTCTAATCCTACCTTTTCAAAAGTGGTATATAATATACTGCTATAAAAAAATACAATATAAAAAAAGAAAAAAAAAGCACTTTGAAAATACAATTTTATTAATGGATATTTCAGTCTGTAACAGAACCCAACATTGTTTTTAACACTTGTAAAATGTTTGTGGTTCACCCACTTTGGGAACCACTTCATTTATAACCCATTCTCTGCAGTTTTTTTTTTTTTATTATTATTCTGGGTCTAAAAAAAAAACAAAAAAAAAACAACAACAACAAAGCACTGTTCCTATCCCGCCCCCTGGTAAATTTGGTCTAGAACCACCACTGCCCATTGCGGTTTTTTAGGTCCCAGACTCAAAACTATACTAATAACTCATTCTGTTGATACTCCCTATTTAAACCCATTCAGGCACCATGGTGCATTATGTGCCAGTAAATTACTTTAGACTCCCTGTTTAGTCCAGCATCACAAACTGTTTGATTTTAAAGCTCCATCTTGACTGGAGTGGAGCTTTAGGAGCCCAGTCTGTCCTGTTGGAGTGACTGACCCACCCTGCCGTCCCTTAGTCCCTCCCTCTGTCCCGTGTGTGTGTGTCTTTGGAGCTTTGTGTGTGTCTGGGTGTGTGCACGCGTCAGTTAGCGCGACCAGCTTTAAACAAATGGTGCTTTCAAGTACTGCTCGAAAAAATAGTAACCGATACATGATCGACTAATTCTCGATTATGTAGGCTACTTATGAACTTTACATAAAGGCTGCGCTTATATTAACTAAAGATTTACAAAGGGACTTCAGCTATTGTGAATGTTTGACATTGCAAAATAAAAGAAAACAAACAAAAAAGTCTCTGTATGATTGTTTTGAAAGCAAAGAGTAGGCTATAACTTAAAGATATTTTGTTTACTTAGAAGTTTGAAAGGGGAAACATAATCAAACATGCACAAAAAATTGGAATGGCGGATTTTTTTTTACTCCAATCCTGACCTTAAATGCTAAAACAGCTTCCTTGCATATTAAACTTTGTATTACTTACAGTAAGAAATCAATAGTTATAGCTATTTGCAACCCATATTCACCATCTAAGCATTCACATATATAGTAGGTATATGCTGAACAGCTCTTAGGACGTTAGCTTTAAAGTCATTTTAATTAAATAAATTAGAGTTTTCTTGTTTTGATGTTATTATGAGTAACATAGTTGTGATTAGTTGATAATATATTATGTATTTTTGTCCAAATAATTCAAGTCAACTTGTTTATATGTGTTTAGAATATAATATTGATGCTCAATCTAAAATTTACGGTCGCTGTAAACTTTAAACTACAACAAAACGATTTTGTCTTATTTACGGACTTGACTTGAACGCAGCATAAGCTCCTGTTTTGTGTGTGTGCGCTCGCGTCGCTGTTTGCGAGGCAGCGAGTTGCGTGCGAAGAACTCGACATGTCATTCAGACGAATCCGCCACCTGAAACGCGAGGAAGTCAAGGCGACTCAATTGAGTATAAAGAATCAGCCAACATCTGCCTGCGAGCAGAGCGACGCTGATGAAAACATCAGCGCGGAGCTCCTGCAGGAACCCCGGCCGCTCGGATCGGATCTATCGCTGCCCGGAGCCGGTGCACCTCTGCCAGGCGCATCTCTGGCGCATTTTAAACTGGATGTGATTCTGGAGCCAAATCGATTCTGGATTTAATCCAAGAGTGTTCTGGGTTAGTTTAATCATCCCTTTCATTTTTTTTTATTTTTTATTATTGTTTGATGATTTCTTTTAATAATAACCATTTTTTCTCCAGTTTTTAAAGATGCCCTGTTAACATTATAACCAGAGAGTTTTGATTGATAATTTTTAATGATGAGCTTTTAAAATCAATCATCAGATAATTTAACTTTTTTCTCCAACTTTTAAGCTGAAGTTGCACCAATGCTGTGCAGATTTGATCACAGGTCAGGGCCTGACCTTTGGGGACATAATGTACTGCAACATGTTGCTTTTGAAGCTGTCATCCTACACCTGTAGGCCCGCTGGAAGCTTCTCCCTCCAGCCTTTGGTTAAAGCAGCTCTAACTTGCCATTGTCTGATCCGCAGCGCACCTGCTACCTCCACGGAGCGCAAGATCATGATCCCACCAGGAGACTGCATGTATGCGGGCAGGAAGAGGAGGAAGCCCGTCCAGAAACAGTTAAGGAGTCATGCTTGATCTTGAGCTTGTATTAGATAAGCACTTGCATGTGCGTAAACTCCTTTAGGCTAGATAAACTTAATCTAAGCTTAAATAAAACTTATAACTTACAGTAAAAAGGGAACAAAGGAAACACTTTTATCATTATCTCTGGATTTTTATTGCTTATCATTAATAGATAAGATTATAGCATTAAACTCTAACTTCTTTCTTTAAAGTTATGAGGTGTGAGGGGGGTTAAATTAGGTTTCCAGAGTTAATTATTTTCTTTTTTTTTATTTTGGTGACTTTATTTGATGAGGAATCCACATTTGTCATCCTAATGGAAGATATGAATAGTGAAAAGTATGTTTTATAAGTTATTAAGGAAGTGGTAGTCTTTTTTTAAAAAAGAAGGAGAACAAAAAAAAAAAAGCCTTTGGCGTTTATAAAGTTTTCATGATTGGCTCTGCCTTTTGCTGCTGATCTGAGAGGAAATCTTCGCCACATCAAACCACTTCTCTTCGTGGACCTTTACAGCTCCTAAAAATGAAACAAGCGCATCGGTATTCTGCTGTTTTTGTGGTTGCCATAGTTTTTTTTGTTGTTTTTTTTTTATGTTGGTAAAGTAGCAAAAAAAATAAAATAAATCCAACCTAACAAAAAAATATAGAGAGAATTTAGACCATGGATTTAAGACTCTTTTTTTCATTTTTTAGAATATATTTAATTCTGATTCTTTAGAAAAAATGTGGCACAGCATAAGAAATCCCTCCGTTTGATTCCAGCTCCACTGAGACATTTCATGCAGTCTATCCACTAACTTTATTGTGGGGAAGCATTTGAAAGGAGCGAGTGCTGCAGTTTTTATTTTATTGTTTCTGGAGCTTTTTCATTCCTTTACTTATAGTCGAAAGTGAATAATAAATGTGGTTTTATGGCATATTAGAAGTCCTTGTAGGCCGTATGGTTTTATGAAGTCATCTTGCTCTGTATACTTTTGCAACCTGCTGAGCTTGCCATATTAGAGACTTAATAAAAACTCACCTGCAAAGAGCGTATTTATACATTTTATTCCTAATTGTAACTAATATTTATAAAGACTGACAAACCGGATATATTGTATCCATGTGATGTTAAAGAAATTAACTTAAATTCAATTTTAAATAGATATGTTAACACAAAAAGATTAAAATAGGTTTTAAAGTTCAACATTGCTCCAGAAGTTTTGCACCCACATCTACATATCAGTGTCCTCTTATCTCTTCTGCCGTCTCGCCCACAGGAAGCCGTCGTCTGCCAGTGAGAAAAGCAACCCGTCCAAGCGGCACAGGGACAGGCTCAATGCCGAGCTGGACCGGCTGGCCAGCCTGCTGCCGTTCCCCCCAGATGTCATCTCCAAACTGGACAAGCTGTCCGTGCTGCGCCTGGCCGTCTCCTACCTCCGCGTCAAAAGCTTCTTCCAAGGTAAAGAGTGGCTTCAAAGTTTGTTTTCATGCTGCTGAAAGGGTTTTGCTCCCTGACTGAAGGAATGCCAAAGTAACTACCGTGAATTAGTGTGTTAATATGATCACAGTGGATGATGGAGAGCATTTTTCAGCTGATGAGGATTGTTGATTTCATTTTATAATTTTCCAACTTTGCACCCCATTTTTTTTAAGAGTGCAAGGTTAGCTCCATTGCAAAAACATTTTATCAAGCTGAAGAGGATGAGTCATGAGTTTAAGATGGTTTCTAAATACGAGAATAAAGTTGGTCTGTTTATACGGCTTAAATCCCCGCTGCGCCTTTGTTTACTTCTGTTACATGTTAGTAGAAAGTGGGGCTGATTCCAAGTCTTGTTTTCCAACCCATCTGCTGCCCTCCTCCTCCTCTTGTTTCTCCACCATGAACTTCAAATATTCATGTGCTTCTGAAGAGCGTATTTAGTTGCTGCTGGCCTTAACTGCTGCTTTATTAACACAAATGCTGGATGTAGGCAACCGAAAAGCTTCATCTTTAACTTTCAGAATAAGAAACATTAATAATTGATCATTTATGAGGTTCTCACATTATGATAACTTTGGCTGAAAATACCATAACATCAGGGCGTTATCACAAAGATTTAAATACAGCATGGTCTAATTAACCAAATTAACAAACTGACAAAAATTAATCAGAAGAAACAGGCAGCCCTACTTAAACTGCAGCTTTATTATATGTTTTTCCAAAAAAGTTAAAAACAAACCACTGGACTTTTTTTTCCAAGTTTAAAGTCGTAGCAAAATCATATTTAAATGTCAAATCATTCTGGCTTAAACATGTATATGAATGTACTCTTTATTAGACCATAGTGTCCCAAAAGTTAGAACATTTCTATAAAAAATTTTTTATGCAGGCCAGTTAATTATGCGTCAGCTTGTACACCTAAATTCGGCTAATCATATATCATCGATCATCTGTCAATTAAATTTTTTCCAGACATAGCATTTTGATTCGTATCTCGCAGCTGATATACGCAACGGTTGAAATAAAAAATAATAATAATTTCCTTTCCCATTGAGTTTCGTCGCAGTGTTCACAGGGATGGACGTCTGTGTCTTCGGCAGGCGTAGAGCTAACAGAACTGGCAGCGTTGCGAGGCAAGGGCTCAAACATGGATGGCTGTAAGCCTTCTACACCAAACCAAGCTTCTGCCGCCATGGCGTCCTCTTCCACAACATCTTCGTCCCCGATTTCCTCCTTTAAATAAACAATGTATGACGGAGGAGACTAATCCACGACTTCTGATACAAAACTCTCCTCCTCTTGCATGTTTCCTCTGTCCATAGCGTTCCTTGACAGTGTTGTTGCTAAGTCACCAATTTAGTGCTACTTGGTCGCAATGTAATTTCCCATTGGGAACCTACTAGCACTAAGTTGCTAACTGGTTAGCAAACCAGCAGACCAAACTTGCTTGGGAACCTTCCACCAAAACAATCCCGCCCCCTTGATAAACGACCAATCACATTCACTTTATTCACTCGTGTAAAGTCGTGCACCACAAGAATTTGGAAATGCAATGGTTGGAACGGCTATTTCCCTACGACTTTAAAGATGTTTCGCTTCCCATCCAGGAAGCTTTCCCAAATTCAAACTGTCTGGAGTAGTGTGGAGCTCCAGGCTTTATAGATTAGCACAACAAAGGCCTTGTTTTGGCTTAGAAAGCATGCAAATTGAACCAAAACAGGTCCACCACTTTTTAATGGGGAGTCACTCGGGTCGTTATTGGCCTGGCTTACAGGCGCAATGTTTTGACCTCCTGCATGATGATGAGGATTGAGGTGATAGTGGGAAGGAATCAATTCTTGATTATATGCATTCCTTATGACCGGAAATCTACAGAAAACAGACAGATTGATCTTTTTATAGTTATTAAAAGGAATACAATGCATTTGCAAAGCGTATTGACTGAGTTTAGGTTTTGTTTACCTGTGTTTAGTTATCATTCAGTTAGTCATTTCCTCACCTCTCCTGTACTTCATTCAGGTAATTACAATCCCCAGTTCCTTGCTGCAGTTATCATTCTCCCAGTATTGAAGCTCAGGTTCCAACAATGTGTCACTGGATTCTCTGGCTGCTCCTCATGTTTCCAGGTGTTTTTCTCTTTGTTTTACTTTGTCTGCTGTCATTTCATTGAATAAATCACTTCTAAATGATCACGCCTGCCTCCTCCTTTGCTTGGGTTGACCAAAGACTGAATTAGCCCTTTTTCCAGCCAGCTAGACAACTGCACTACATATTAGATGAAATAATCCAGGCCTCTTTGAAGCTTTCTCTGTTGTAGTCAGAAATTAAGGACTTCAAACTGTAGGAAATGTAAAATGGAAAGTGTTCGGCAGTGAGAAGCTGTAAGATTTTACAACCTGGGTATACCTTGGTGACTGGGCCATGTGGTAATGCCTAAGGCAGATAAAAGGTTTAGAGGACAGGGGAAGCCAAGGTCCTGCGAAGTTCAACGCCTACGGAATCAGAGGGGTGAAACAAAGTTCCCATCGTTGGTTCTGAGAAGTCGCTTTGGGGATTTGCAAGCTTTTTTTGTGCTAAAAGTTGTGCTCCCTGATCTCCAGTGTACTCCTAATCTCCACCATCCGGTTCCTTGGCAATGACACCCAACAACTGGCTTCCTGTTGGATTCTTCCCTCCCACACACATGCACACCTACACGCCGCTATATACCTGAACGCTCATTTAGCTTAGCCAGCACGCAAAGTTGAAGAACAGGTGGTAATCTGAGTAATCATGGGTTCATGGAGAGATAAAGAAAGCTTTTGCTTACCAGGTGTAGGGTGATGCTGAGGATTGTCCAAGCAAATGAAGCGCTTCCAAGGGAATTCTGGAAAACTCCTCAAGTCACGAGCATCAGTTGTGCTGTTAGGGATTAGACACCGATGGGGATTTGGAGAAATTGTTTTTAGCTCCGAGCAAAATTATGGAAACACTGTAAGCATTAAGAAATATGTATCTGGCTCACAGCCCATATTTGTTTACTCCCCCTCTGCTGTTATTAGTGGCAGGAGTGACCGGCTTATCTGACCTTTGATGCTTCACAAATGAGATTAATTAGAAGGAAACATGAGGGATTTGGTTGTGTTTACATCTGGAGGCTCTGCAGGGCCTCCAAACGATCAACTGCCTTGACCCACATCACCCCCCCCCCAAAGTAGTTTTCAAACACAAAGCAAAGTTGGCGCATTTCTACATATATTTGAGATGAGCAGCAAGTACATGTCCACATCCTTCCTGTGGTTTCCAACAACAGTCAGAATTGTCTATGAGTCACTGACAGAAAATATGACATGAAACCTGCAGCTTTAGGTTTCATTTGTCTTTATGAACAGTTTCAAAGAGGAAGAATCCCACTTTTTTTTTCTTTAGGGTGCAGTTATCCGCTTTGTCCAACAGGGGAGTGTGTGAGGTTGCTTGCAGGTGGACACTTTATTGACTGGCTCAGTAGATTTATTTTTTATGGAGAGGAGAAGCAGGAACTTTTTTTTTTTCTTTTTTAATCCAGTCCTGGGATTTTTTTTACAAGATGTGACACAGCAAACAGTGCTCACCTGTGTACTTTGTTCAATTATACCTCCAGGCTGATGAGTGTATGTGTAAATAAAAGCCAGCAATGGAAAGTTTTTATTTTGCTTTTATCTCAAGGAAATCAATCCGTTTATGACGTGTTTAAAAGTGCAGCATACAGTCACCTGGAATTATCTCATGTGGAAAAATGATCTTAGACAGAATAAATTGAAAGGTGTGGATGGTTTCTACAAATATACTTAAATATATAAGTATTATTACTTATTATAATGTGTAATATAGAAGTGAATTATAAAGAATACAGCGATTGTGAAAGTAAGATTTATTTACATTTACTTTCCATGAATTTTATGCTTGTTTAACTGTAAAAAAAAAAAATAAAAATTAAATTAAATTTTACCAATGCATTTTTTTTTTTTGAAGAATTTTTCTTTAAATACACTTTTTCAAGCTTATTTCCAGTTAGGTGTATTTATACAACATCTGGGCTGTAATTCCCCATCTGCTCTTTAAGATCACGAGTTACTATTTACTGTAGTTATTATTCATTTAGGGCTATTCTCTCCTTTCCATTTGCACTAAAAAAAATAGTGGAGCTTATATTGAAATTGATGTATATAAAAAGTAGACAATAATTTGTACAAATGACTGACTTAAATAGTTTTTATTATGTTTAAAGGTCCTTAAACTTGAGGTTGGGACCCCACTTGAGATGTTTGATTAATAAATGAAAAGTTTAAGGAAGTTTTAAGGATATCTCCAACAAAATAAAATCTACATATTTGAAATAAAAGCAACATATTTGTGGTTTTTCAGAAAAAAAAAACTCTGTTTAACTGACTCACTGCTAATGTTTGTATATTTAAACCATAGTTATGTTAAAAAATTCTTCCCCACCATTATTTTTATGTCTCAGATCATAAAGAAAGTTGATAAAATCATGATTCTACCTTGACTGGTTTCATAAAAAACAAGCACATTTAAAATAAAAAAAAAACCTTGGGCTGGATTATGCTGTTTGAACTTGTTGTCATAGAAATGTCTTTGTAGTTTCTATTTGTTTATTTGGTTTTACCTTTTAGAATTTATTTACATAAATTAAACACTGAAATGAAAAAAAAAAGCAGAGACGCTGTGAGTAAGTAATTACAATTCAGTAATTTCCCTCTGGGATTATTAAAGTATTTCTGATTCAGATTCTGAGTGTTTTTTTTATTTTTATTTTCGGTAGTGTTAGGTTAATTAATGAAATGTAGACAGCGAAGGAAAACATATCTGATTAGTTTAAACCAGGAAAATGTTTTGGTGTCAAAAGTGCAAATTAATAGATATCCGTCGAAACTTTGAAATTACAAATAAAAAAACCTTAAGACCACACACTAAAGGGCTGGAAGTCTTCTCTAACATGCCAC